TCATTATCATTAATCATATCTGTAACTGTTTCTGTTACTTGAGTTTTTCTTGGAAGAACTTTTCTCTATTACTTTCCGCAAACTTCAGTTTAAGGCCCCCCCCCCCCCCCCCTCAAAAATTGATCTCAGCCCAGGAACATCCAAACAGGCTGATATTTGGAGGATATGTTGGGCCTGTGATAGGACGCACGTAATAAAAGTTTCAGCCTTCTATCCTGATGTATAAGGTAGATACGAACCAAACAACGGTCGAAAAATAGCTTATCGTAGCCCCAAAAAATCTCTATGGGTGTTGATTCAATATGGTTCATTGTTTTTTCATTTGAAAGAGCATGTCAGGATGCAGTGCCTATGAGGAACCTTTTTTTAAAATTCTTATCTTTAATAAGAAAAAAAGGGTTCACAAATTCATTCACTCAAAAATCCCTCAAAAAAATGATGCTTATATTATAAAATCGGTTTTCAATATAATAATAGGAAAGCTTTATCAAAAAAAGGACCCTCATAGGCACTGCAGTTTTTGATGCTCTATCAAACAAAAAAAAAATATTTGACTTTATATCGGATTATAATTGACTTTTGGTGGGGCTACGTAATTCGACCACTATTTTGAGAAAAAACGAAAATGATTTTTGGGTTTTTCGAAAAACCAGAGATTTTTCGAATAGGAGTCGTCAAAAATATTGAAAGTTTTTCGGAAAAAAGGATATATCGAAGAAAAGTTTTTATCGTTTATGAAAGAGCAAATGACAGACTATCTCCCTATGTATCTATCTCAGTCTTGACCATTCTGACGAAAACTAACTTTTTTGAGGGAGGGGGGGGGGGGGGGGAGCCTTAAGCATAAAAAGGCAATAGCATGTTTTTGTCTCAATTCTCTTTTAACTTTCCGAAGTTAAAACTAAATTCCGAACATTGAATGCAATATGACTCTGACATGATAATATGCCATATTTTTTAGACAAATATACATATTAGAGTCAGATTTCACTTCAATGCCTAAACAAAATATGATCCTTGATTGGCGATTACTTCCTGTTGAATGGACTTAGCAGAATCAATTCATACATTACAAACGGTTCAAATACAAAGTATCGAATCCTTATATTTTTGCCAAATATTAATCGATAATCCTGAAAACTATCCAAGAGTGTAAATTTAGATGTGGATATGATCTTCTATTCACCTACATCGAGATTCATATTCATCTACATCCCACAATACTTTAGTATAAACGTGTGATAGTTCGAGTTTTGTTCTAAGAACTGTAATGGTTTTGCCAGTTTCTATCGAGAACTCTGTAACTGATGAATTGATTTTTCTCAAAGAGAAAGTTGTATCTGACACTATCTCGAAGATGTAGCCTAATGAAGTAAGTGTTTACTTTCCTATTGAAACTTTCTCCTTCACCCCATTCTTGCGAGTCAGACGATAAAATTGTCGATGTTCACATATTTGAATCTTAAGGAAAGAAACGTAAAAATATAAAAACAAGATTATTTCCATAATCTTATGCCATTTAATAGTTGTTTTTCATGTTTAAATATAGATAAATGAGCTAAACAAGTCAATTCTACTGTCATTTTATTTCAAATGAATTTCGATGGTAACTATGATACGTGAATAAGAGACAGTTGATGCTACTTAGAATGATCAATCAGTCCTTCTATTTGGTTGAAAATACTTAGACTTAGATAAAACTCTTTCTGATATTTTTAGCATCAGATTAGTTTCGATTAAGATATTTATATTTGACAACTTTTTGCACACACACACACACATTCACCGCGTATCTTTCTTGTTTTCCGATATTCAACTTTTTTTTTCTATATTTTTCTCAACATGAAAGTAAGAAAAAAAGCTATTTTTGCAACAAATAACGGTCGAATGCCAATAAGAGTTATCTAACGATGAACTGACTAGTCTCATTTCACTATTCTTCAAGATCGATTCGATCCGACTAGATGAGTTTCAATAGTGTCCAATGAAAGAATCTATAGTTAGTGTTTTTAATGGAAATAGAATTTGCACGAAACTGTTTAGATACAATAACTTCTATATTTAGCATAGAATGATTGAACGGAGCAATATTTAAATCATAATTAGATTGATTTTAGTAAGATCGTCTTTGCATCATTGTATACACAGTTGAGATGGATGTCAGTAGATATGATCAACAAGAGAAATATTTATCCTCTGAAACTACTTAGGACAATCCAAAAGTAGTGTCGTCATTAATTTATTTCTCTATAGAAAGCTTGCAGAAATTTTCTTTCTTAATGTAGTGATAGAGAAAATGATGCTCTATTTTTCTGTACTATTTGATCAGTATTCAACTAATATCATAATAATAAAATTTCAATAAGAACTGTTTTGGTATGAAACTCCACTAACGAGTGAGGCAGGTTAAATGTTTTAACCACTTAATGTATTGTATTAAAAAACAAAATATACCACAAGTTACAGCGCGAGAAGTTCTACAATTTACAAAAGACCGCTTATTTTATAATTGCACGTTTTTGTTTTCAAAATAAACAAAATTTTGTGGGACCAATTTTTGGCCATGCGGAAACGATATTTTTTGGTAAGAGATAAATTCATTTTTTCTTATTGCATCTTTTTGTCACCTGATATCTTTTATTTAACAAAAACAAAAAAAATCATAAGATGCAGCGTGAAAAGTTCTACAATCTACAAAGTAAAGCTTACTTTAATTGTGTACTTCTTGTTTTCAGAAAAAAAACCAAAATTCTGTGCGATCAACTTTCGCTGGCCCGAAAAAGTAATGTTTTTCTTATTTCATATATAAAAGAAACTGTTCTTTTGTAAATTGTAGAACTTTTCACACTGCATCTTCTGATATATTCTGTTTTTTAATACGACATATTAAGTGATTGAAAATTGAAATGAAAAGCATATTAATCTGTCTCATCCGCTAGTGAAGTTGCATACCAAAACAATTCTTATTGAAATTTTATTATTATGATATTAGTTGAATACTGATCAAATAAGCACAGAAAAATAGAGCATCGTTTTCTCTATCACTACATTAAGAAAGAAAATTTCTTCAAGCTTTCTATAGAGAAATAAGATAATGACGACACTACTTGTGGATTGCTCTAAGTATCATACTATCGTTTTCATTTACGTGATGCATCATCACAAGTTCAAATGGTTCTGACAACATTACTTTTGAAAATTGGAAACATCAAAGTCTCCTAGTATAGCTTTATCACTTGAAATTTCATAATCAAGTCTACAATATACTTTGGAAAGAAAGTAAATATTGGATTGGCAAGAAAGTTTCCATGCTAAGGGTATATGAAGTAGGTACGAATATCTTTCAAAGAACAACAAAACTATGAATATGGATGTTGACCTTGAATTAGAAATGAAAATATCTCGTAGAGAGCTTCGAATGCTTCTGCTTCATGAATCCCGTTTGGGCCACAAAGCAACAGAAGCAACAAGCAACATATGCAGCACGATGAGCAAGGATGCGCTCTCCATTCATACAGCATAACATTGGTTCAATCGGTTCAAAAATGGTAACTTCGAACTCGACGATTTACCTCGTTCCGAAAGACCATTAGAGGTGGATATGAATGACTTAAAGCAGCTTATCAAAGGAGATCCTAGATTGACTACATGGTGTTTAGCAGAGCATCTTGGGTGCGCTCATACCACAGTGAAAACACATCTGAGCGAATTAGATTAAACGTGGAAATATGAAGTTTGGATACCACAAGATCTGTCACCACATCAGCTCCAATACAGAGTTGACGCCTATATGGAATTAATGACGTCTCATCACAACTACCAATGCCTCCATAATCTTATTACCGGCAATGAAAAGTGGATATTGTATGTTAACCACACGCGCAAGCAGCAATGGATGGAAGCTGGACAAACAGCTGTGGCAACACCCAAAGATGACCTTCACCCAAAGAAGATTATGGTGAGCATCTGGTAGGGAATAAGAGGGGTTATTCATTGGGAACTTCTTCCAACTGGTTGCACCATCGCTGCTGATCTCTATTGTCAGCAATTAGACCAATTTGCAGTAAAAATTCCAAGGAAAGCACGATAGAATTTATTTTTTGCATGACAATGCTAGACCTCACATTGGAAAATCGATGCGTGAAAAATTATTGGAGCTCGGATGGACTACGGTTCTACATCCACCTTATTCTCCAAACTTGGCTCCTACGAACTACCATTTGTTCTGTTCTCTCTCTAACTATTTGTGCGAGAAAAAATTCGACGATGAAAACGACCTCGAAATGGACCTCGCTAACTTTTTCGGCCAAAAGTCCCAGGATTTCTACGAATGTGGGATCCTTTCGCTATCAGAGCGTTGTCGACAAGCCATAGATAGTAATGGAGCGCATATTGTTGAAAGCTAGTTGTATTCTTTAAGTTAAAAAACAAACAAAAAAATGTTCGAAAAAAACGCAAAAACTTTCTTGGCAACCCAATAAAACCAAGTCAAATAATAATATCTAGAAAATGTTTGTTAGTCTGATAAATTCTTAAGCAGAGTTTATTATTCTATGCTTGTTTTATAGTGTAATAGATGGTATTTATTCGATTTATTATTAAATAGAGATGTTACAGACATTGAATGTATGTCAATGATCGACGATCTTCACTGATTAATGTATGTGAGCAAACAATAACTATATTGTAATAATTGTTCACAGGATTTTTTTTTAATTATTTTCATTCAATTTATGATTTTACTTTTTCGCATAATCAATATTGGTTTTTTATTTTGTTGACGATAAATAAACGATAAAACAAGATAAAATATTGAGTGTTTACAGAAAAGTGTTCGAAAAAAAATGAAATATTGTTAAGAAAAAAAAAATGCGTCTGATTTATTCATCTAAAATGAATCGAATAATAATTGAATGTCAGTCTGAGAGATAAATCATTCTTATTGAATAATAATTAAAAAAGATTGTTCTATTAAATAATTAAATTGAATAATGATTTATTTAAACAACAGTTGAATATCTTTTTGAATTGTTTTCGAAATAAAATAAATCATGTTGACAAGAATCGAATATATCCTTAAAAAAAAAAGAAACAAATAATATATATATAAATCTAATAAAAATTTACATTTGTATGATTATGAATAAATTGTTGATCAATTATTGAATTAGGTTCATCTTGATAATCATGTTGAACATATTCTTGTTGTTTAGTTAAAGATGATATTGTTTCATCTGTTGTTGAAGATTTTTTTCTTATTCTTTTTGTTTTTTTTTGTTGATAATTATTAATTAATGCTAAAATAATTAAAATAAAAGAAATAAAAATACCAATTATAATTGATCCATATAAAAAAAAAGGTCGAATTAATAAATGATTTATATGAATAACTCTTAATTGATATTTAGTTATTGATGAACCATATTGATTTATTCCTGTACATATATAATAACCATTATCAGATAATAATACATTTTTAATTAATAATTTATATTTAATTATATTATCACTTTCATTTTCATTTATTTCATATTTTTCATTTGAAATTATTTTTGATTGATCTTCTCGTGACCAATATATTTCCTAAGATATTTAAAAACAAAAAAAGATTTTTTTTTTTTTTTTGTAAAAATTAAAAAACAAAACTTGAATAGGAATATCTTTTGAAATCGAACAAACAAGTATCACTGATTGTCCAACATAAACGGAATCAATTATTTTATCTTCAATCATTTCAGGTGGTCCTTTAAAAGAAATAAAATAAAAGTAAATTTTGTTTTCTTTTTTAAAAAAAAAGTGAAACCTTTTAATGCAAGTCGAATAGTTCTATTAAATGTTCCAAAAAAAGAATGATGTGCAGAACATATATAAATGCCAATATGTTGAATAGTTTGAATATAATCTATTTGAAAAAATGTTTTATTTATTGATATTATTTTATTATTGAATATCCAAGTTATTAATGATGATGGAGATGAATCAATAAAACATTCTAATTCAATTGATTCTCCTTCATTAACTAATACAACTGAATAATTATTTAATTTATTTCCATATTTATCTATAAATATTGGTTTATCTAAAATAAATTTATTTATTTATTTATATAGATGACGAAAAAAAAAAGAAATCTCTCATACAAGTAATATAAAGTTCTATTGATTGATTTGTTTTTCCAACTTGATTTGTTGCTTGACAAGTTATTTTATTTTTATGCATATATCTTGTTAATATAAATGATAAACGATTTTCATTAGTTACATTTAATAAATCAGTTCCATTAAACCATTCGATTTTAATTAATTTTGGTCGAGAATTAACATAACATTGAATAGTTATTATTTTATTTTCTATTTGTTGACCAATTAAACTAATATTTATTTCAGGTCGAACTAGATTTAAAATAAAAGAGAAAAAAATTAATAAATATGAAAATAAAAAATAAAAAAAAACGTTTACAAATGGTTTGAATATATTGTTGAGTTATCATTGTTTTATTATTTAATAAAATAGCAGATGAATGTGCTTGACATTGAATTAATATACCATGATAAGATCTATTTGGTATTAATGTTAAATTTGATATTGAATTTCTTAATGATTGACCAGATAAAAGAACATAATCATTTATTGATAAATAATTTATTGATTTGGGAATATGCCAAGAAAGTTTAGCTTCAGGCATACCATCATCTCCTCGACATATAATAAATGATAAAACATTTTCTATTAATATTATTGGATTATCAATTGATAAACTTGTTGGAATTTCTAAATTCAAATTTATTTCAATATTTTCATTCGAGATTTTTTTTTAAATGTTAAACATACGTAAAACAGTTAATTTAGCTTTTCGTGACATTGAACCAGATCTTCGAGGTCCAGCTTGAATTTGACATTGATACATTCCATTATCTTCTAATGATACATTAACTATTTTAAAATGATGTTCACCTAATTTTAATTATATTAGAAATTTATTTTAAAACAAAAAACAAAACAAATGTCAAAAACCTTGATGAGCATGTCCAATAATTTGATAACGAGGATAAAATGGTAAATCTCGTGTTTTTCCTAATGTGCAAAAATCATTTTTACACCAATTAACTTGAGTTTGATGAATAGGTTCTGTTCGACAACGAAGAATTATTGTTGATCCAATTATTGTTTCAATATCTTCTGGTTCTTCAATAAATTGATTTGTCATATAAATACCATTTATTAATTCAACGAATATTATTAAGATTAATAACATTGAATGTCGTCATCAATCTGAAAGGATGGGAAAATAAATAAAATCGAGTAATAAGAAGATAAATATATATCCGATGATAATGTCAATTAGTAAAAAGGTTGTTGATAAAGAATAAGAAGAAGAATAAGAGTAATGTCTATAGAATGATGAATATGTTAATTGTCTTCAATGATTAATATATTCTATTGAACAAAGAGAATGTTGACTAAGAATGACAATAAAGAACAACTGGCATGTGTCAAATATCTAATGAACTAAATTGACTTTAACTATATGAATTCGATTTAAAAGAAGAAAAAAAGTCTTTTGCATAAAAGCTATTATTAATGAAAATAAAATTGAACTTTTCAAATAACTTCTAAACAAAAAAAAAGAAGAAAAAAGTTTATCTAAAAAGAATGGAATCAATGAGTAACTAGGGTATTACTCTACTTTGTTATTCTTATTAAGTTGAAGACATCACCACCCTAGGGTAGTTAACCGACAACAATCAATCTTTTTTTTCTTTTCTCGATTCAAAAAAAAAACGCCAATAGAAATACATTGTTAAATTTGAAATAGGTTATATATGTGTTCATCTTACCGTATCGAACGATATATACTCATCACTTATCGACAATGACAATAACAATCTTTTTCTTTTTATTATTCTTATATATAATGTAACCATTAAAATAGAGTTGAAAAAAAAGAAATGTTATGAAATAAAAAGAGATAGATGGAGAGTGTGTGTAATGATGTCAATATAATAAAAGAAAAAAAAAGAAAAAGCATCCTTGAATAATCTTGTCAGTGTTGTGCCTCAAGCTAAGATTCATTTTATGATGATTGTCTTTAAACGTATGTTGATGATGATGTCAAATATATAATAGACTCTTTCTATTCTCATATGAGAATAATAAATAAGATAATTCATATGACAGTTAATTCATTCAAGATAAATAGACATTTATTATCAATTATATTATATACCAATCACCATTATCAACTTTATTTTATACTCACCTTTTTTTTTTTTTTTTTTTTATTTAAATTAACTTATTTAAATCTCCTTTATTTTTTTTTTCTTATTCTATGTTTAACAATAGAAATAATTATCGATTGCATTCAGTTTAATATTATTTTTTATTTATTGAAAAATAAATAAACAAAATTATTGTTTTATTTGAGTTTTTAAGAAAAAAAAAATCTTTTATAATAATTATCTATTAAAAAAATGTTATGTTGAGATATTGAAGAAAAAAAAATGTTTGGTTAAGATTATTTTTGATGATTGAGAATAAAATAATTCTTGTTAAATCATTTAAGAATATATATAGACAACTTTTTTTTTTCTTTTTATATTAATAAGTAGAGAAGAGTTTTTTCTCGATTTATTTTATCTTTAATTTATATTCTACGAGACTTTTTCTTTTTTTATTCAAATTAATTTTCAACTTATTCAATTTGATTAATTTAAATAAAAATTTATCAATTTTTCAAATAATATATTATCTTTAAATAAAAGGAGAGAAAATAATTAATCAAATATCTATTCGATATTAAATCTGATAACGATTTAAAAACTAATAAATCAATAATGGTGACAATGATATAATTAGAATTCGATTTTGTTTTTATAATAAGATTTTAATTTAAAATAAATATTTTATATTTATTTATTTTCCATTCAATAATAAGAAATCGTTTTTTTCTTAATTCAACCTTTTATAGATATATCCTATATTCAATGAATCCATTTTTTTTTCAAAGAATATTGATTATTGATAAATAATAAATTCGATATTAATCTAAGTGATGTTTATATTGAGATAAATTAAATAAATAAAATCAAAAGTTTTTATTAATATTCTATTATAGATTGAATTGACTCAATGTCGAATAAAGAAAATTATCTTCAATAATAAATCTCTTTAAAATTTACTCATCTTTATTATTGAATAGAAATAATTTGATTAATAAACAATTTCTATCCTATATATTAAATAAATAAATAAATTTATTATTCAATAGAATATATACGATCAATAAGTTGGTGCTTTTTGTTTCCTTTAATATATATAAATTAATCGATTATTTTCAAAAGATAAAACAAATATGAATAAATCAATAATTGAAAATAATTAAAAGAATAGATTTTATTTAATAGATCCTCAAGAAATTTTTTTTTTCAAATAAAATATGAAAAACATATTTTGAATAAAATATTTGAGATCAGTTAGTTAGTTAGATATTGAAATAATTCAATTAATAAAGAAAAACAAATTTCCCTGAAATAAATCTAAATCAATTCTAATTAATATTATATTAAAAGAAAATAAACAAAACAAAACTAACAAATCGATATGAACTTTTTTCTTTGATAATCAATAATATCTTAGGAAATTTGATTTTTTATATAAAGAATTCATTTTTAAATATATCAGAGATTTAAAAAACACAGAAAATAACTTTTTAGTTTTGTTTTTATTAACTTCTTTTAAGATAAAATATTGAAATGGAAATGAAATGTGTGATTAAGTGTTGATTTGTTTTTTAAAATAAGTTGTTCTATATTGAATGAAATAAATTGTTTGATCAATAAAAAAAAAAAGAAAAAATGAATATAGTTGAAAAAGAAAAATGGTTGATGTATATTTAACGCATCAATGATCTTGACCTGACCGATATTATAAACAATTCATTTCAACAAGTTTAAATAAAAAGAACATTTTGTGTTTTTTTTTTATTAAAAATGAATTTTGTTCGTGTATCTGGTAGAATTGGTCAAACAACTCTTTGGATATCTCTATCATCTTATTTTATCTCATTAGTTCTTTATTTAATATCATTTTCTTTACCTGATTGGATTGTTTATACATCAATTCCAGTTAAAATTGGTTTATGGCGTTTATGTGATATTCAAGTTTGATTAGTTTTATTTTAATTAATTAATTTATTTATTTATTTATTTATAATAGATAATTGGTTATGATCGTTGTTCGGATTGGAATGCTCGAGTTTATTTAACTAATATAACAAATAGTGGATTTCTTGGTCCACCTGGTATATTTATTTATTTATTTATTTATTTATTTATTTAAAATTTTGATTAAAGATTTTATTCGAACAAGTCAATCATTAGAAATCGTTGCTTTCATTTTTTATATAATAGGTGGAATATTATTTCTTACTGGATTAACTCAAAGATCAATCGGTTTATTATTTTTTGGATCTTCAATATCAATCTTTATAACAGGTTTTATTTAAAAACAAAAAAGCATGATTCTTATTTTCTATAAAATAAATCCTTTTTTTTTTTTTAAAGTTATATTTACATCATCAACAATTTGTTTATTTGCTCTTCAAGGAAAATCTTCCTATATTGGTTATTTATCATTTTCATGGTGGATTGCTCTTGTTGCTTTTATAATATCATTAATAAATGCTCTTTCATCATTTATTTTATCATTTTATATTCAACCACCACCTAATATTAATCAAAATAATATGTAATTTTATAATATTTTATTTATTTATTTATTTATTTATTTATTTAAAAATTTCTTTGTTTTATATAGAAATGTGAAAAATGATAAAATGTTTTATTCATTACCTCCATATTCAAGTGATGTCTATTTAGCAGAACATTAATCGATTTATTATATTGATAATAATAATAATAATAATAACAACAATATTTAGAATAAAATTCTTGTTTGCCATTGTTTTTTTCTTTTAACATAAATCGAAACTAATATTAACAAATAATCTTCTTTATTGAAATAAATAAAATATTATATTTCGTTTATTTATCATATTCGATATATAATAGAAAAAAAAACAAATCGAATATGTTTTAATTCTCTTTCGTTTCTTTCAATATTTATTTAAAATAAATTTTCATATTCAATTTAAACCAATAACGAATATATGAAAATAATTTTATTTATCATTCAATGTCAATTTAATAAATAAACAATTTTATCTAGAAATAAATCAAATAAATATATAAATATTCTTCGAATAAAAAAAACTTCATTTTATATATAACGAGATTCCTTTTCCACCTTTATTGACAATCGTTCGACGAAAACTTTTCAAACTTTCAGAATAAATAGATCTTAACAACTAGAATTATACTTCTAACAGACTCAAACTTCTCAAATCCGTTCTTAGGAGAGTTATTTATAGGTCAATCATCAAAAATCACCTGAACTTTACACCCCCCCCCCCCCACAAAGATCCCTACTCTATTTTTTCGGGCTAAAATTTATTCTGTGTCAACAAAGAACAAATCTCGATGTCTATTTAATAATTATTTGAAAAAAATTGTTTGTAGGAGTGAGAACAAGGAAAATATTGTAGACACTATCAAAAAGACGAATGAAAAAAAGATTTTTATTTCGAATGGTGATCATTTTCTAAAATCTACCAAAGTGTCATAAGTAGAATCTTGTCAAGAGAAAAAAAACACACACACACACTTCAATTTGATCGAACTATTTAGAAAAAAAAACGTTTGAGCCCAAACGGTAGAACCGTCTAGGAGAAAATGGGAGAAAAACTTGATTTTTTTATTTGAAAATCTGATTTTGAAAAAAACGTTTTTGAGTTTTTTCCCATGGGAAAGACTCGTTTTTCGTTGTTAAAATATGATAATTAGATAGAAGATATTTAAATTTCCATAGAAAATATTAAAAATATGAAATGAAAAAGGTGAAGATTTTCGATTGAGAAAGAGAGAATACATTTATAACTACACAATTATATTCAAATGAATTTGTTTGAATAAAAAATATCCTAATGAATAAATTTATCTTTATTAAACATAATTCAATTAATTGAATATATAAACATTTTCTTTTTAACATAAATAAGATAAATGTTTTATTATAGAATAATCTTTAGTTTTACTATTTTAAACAAAAAAAACAAAAAAAATCAATTGACCATTATTTATATTTTGTTTTCATTGATTAACTTGAATCTGATTGAATATTTATTAAATAAATTCTAGA